TTATTTAAATCTTTCCTCTGATCTGAAACCATTTTACCGGGGTATATTAATTGCTCTGTTCTGAAACACAGAAACCAAGAAACAATGAAACTCTTAATCTAATGAAATGATTGTATTGCATGCAGGGAATAAGCTACGCAAAGCTTGCGAATTTGCCACCCATAATCGGACTATGTTAGTAATCAGAATCTCTGTAGCTTGATGGGATGATCAAGTAGGTAGAAAAGGGTGCAATAGTTTAGGTGTGTGAAGTAACAGTTGAACTGGTATTTGCTTCATGCAGATTCAAGTTTTGTGCCTCCATTGATATACTCTCTGCTTGGGAGCTCGAGGCATCTTGGGGTTGGTCCTGTGTCCATAGCCTCTCTGGTTATGGGGTCAATGTTGAGCGAATCAGTTTCTTTCACTTCAGATCCAATCCTCTATCTCAAACTCGCTTTCACTGCCACCTTCTTTGCTGGTTTGTTCCAATCTTCCCTGGGATTTCTCAGGTATTCATTCATTTCTTGCCCTCTCTTTTCACCTCTCTTTATTCTTAAACCTATGGGGAAAAAAATTACATAAACAGAGCTATCTCCAATTATATCCCACAAAAGAAAAAAATTATGTAGGAAGAGATATCTCATACCACCTTACCCAATATCAAACATTAATTACTACCTTCACTCTCAAACGTAAAAATTAGATAACTAATTTACAAAAATTAAAAAAATAATTTATTTAATTATTTGTAAAAAAATGCGTGTTCTTCTTTAAAAATATTCTCTTTAATTATTTGCACTAAAACTACTCTTTACTCTTATGCCATCAGTAGAGATGCTTTGAAAAAAAGTTATAAATTTAAGAAATAAATAACTCTTAAATTTAGTATAAGGAGGGAGTATTAATTATACAATTTCGGTATGGGAATAACATTTGGTGAATGTGGGCAGGTTAGGGTTTGTGATTGACTTTCTGTCAAAGGCCACGCTGGTGGGTTTCATGGCAGGGGCAGCCATTATAGTGTCGCTGCAACAGCTAAAAGGGTTACTTGGAATTACTCACTTCACTTCCAAGATGCAAATGGTTCCTGTTATGTCCTCTGTTTTCACTCACAGGGACGAGGTTTGTATATTGTATATAGCTTCATTATTTATTTGTGACCCTTAAAGTGATGTAATCACTTGTTTATTCTCATGATTTCACTTCGTTTTTAGTTTTTAAGTTTTATAAAAAATTTTACGAACTAAATTATATCATGTCATCAAATTATGTTGAAATTTTAAACGTTTTTTTAAATTCATTGAATATTGAAGATTAACAAAATCATTGAACCGAAATAAAACCCGGAATTTAAATATGATAAAAAAAAGGCAATAAAAAATGTAAATATGTGTGTTTTTCCCCCACTTGCTTTTTGGTACCAGTTCCCTAAAGTCTCTTTCCCTCTTAAGTTGCTCCAAACATTGAGAGGAAATGATTATTTTAAAAGAACGGCCATTAATAACTTTCGAAAGGTTAATATACATATATGCTTATAGCATTATATTGAAAGAATCTTATTCCAAATTCTTTTTATTGAGGTGGAGAATCTTTTGAAAAATACTTGGGGATTTCTTTTTCTAATTTTGTCTTGAATAAAACAGCTGGATGTTAAGACTTAAGGGTCACACATTAATTTTAATGAGCTAGTGATGCAAGTATTATGTTGATTAAAATATTTGAGCAACTTGTGCAGTGGTCATGGCAAACAATTGTACTCGGATTCGCCTTCTTGGCTTTCCTGCTCGCAACAAGGCACATTGTAAGTCGCTGCTCTTGCGTGCATGCGCGCATATATATATATATATATATATATAAGGAAAATCAGTGATTTAAAAAAATAATTATCATAAAGTCCCATGACAAGTGAATAACAAATTCCAATGTAGAAGTGACAACAACATCTATACTGTTCAGTTGTTATTGAAATTTTTTAGTAATTATATTTTTCTACTGAGACTTTGCAGTAATTTTTCCAAAAACATATCTGTTTGCATAAAATTAAAAGAATTTGAGCTGAGAAAATATCAGAGTAAGCTCAAATAAACCTGTCAATGCTTAAATTTAATCTGAAGTGTGTTTGTAAATGGTTTGACCTTGGAGTGTCTTTTCAAATGTTGGAACAGAGCATGAAGAAACCAAAACTTTTCTGGGTGTCAGCAGCTGCCCCATTGACATCGGTTGTACTGTCAACAATTTTGGTCTTTCTTCTCAGGGACAAGGCTCATGGGATTGCAATTGTAAGAAAAGACAATTCTTCTTGGATTTTTTTCAGCCCATAATCATATAATACCAAATGACAACAACAGTAACAATAATTCATTACAATTACTGTTTTTAATCTTTAAATTGGGTTTCTTTGACAGATTGGACACTTACCAAAAGGCCTTAATCCACCATCAACTAACATGCTGTACTTCTCTGGTCCTCATTTGGCACTTGCAATCAAAACTGGCATTGTGACTGGGATTCTATCTCTTACTGTGAGTTGTTTCGCAACAATACACTGCTTTTTAGTTACAAATTATAATAATATTTACAAATATTCACATGACAACTTAAATTTTGTATCTGAAACAATTCTTATTATCATGCTAGTTACTAGTTAGCAACAGCCTCTATAACCAACTAGTCTATGATCTCAAGTGTTATCCATAACTCATAAGGTTGAAGAGGCATATCAAAAGCTACAATAACATTTTTCATGCATGGATCTTTTTGCATGCCAGAGTATTATAATTGAATTCTCTTATGTTTTCAGGAAGGAATTGCAGTAGGAAGAACATTTGCTGCACTTAAGAACTACCAAGTGGATGGAAACAAAGAAATGATGGCCATTGGTCTAATGAACATGGCTGGCTGTTGTTCTTCATGCTATGTCACTACAGGTAATGATTCTCATTCTCCTTTCATTCGTCCATTTGAATCTTAAATTCTTTCTGAAACATAAATTCTGAGAAATTTCTTCCTTTTCTGGGAAAATCAACTGGCAGGATCATTTTCTCGATCGGCTGTCAACTACAACGCTGGAGCACAGACCGCGGTCTCAAACATAATAATGGCTGCAGCTGTTCTTGTGACCCTTTTGTTTCTCATGCCTCTGTTCTATTATACACCAAACGTGGTCTTGGGAGCCATTATCATCACTGCTGTGGTAGGCCTGATAGATTATCAAGGTGCATATAAATTGTGGAAAGTCGACAAGCTTGATTTCTTGGCTTGCGTGTGCTCTTTCTTTGGTGTTCTGTTCATCTCAGTGCCTCTAGGCCTTGGCATTGCGGTGAGTTTTCAATACTAACAATATAGTATTCAGAGGGAAATATTGCCTATTCTTCCAAAGAAACTGCAATTGAAACTTTTTACTTTTAAAAGAACATGATAAGGCTGAGTGGTGAATAGAGTTACTGACTGGTGCCAAAACTTACAGGTTTCAATTTCAGTCTTCAAGGTTCTGCTTCATGTGTCTCGGCCGAACACTGTAGTGTTGGGGAACATACCGGGAACTCAAATATTTCACAACTTAAATAGATATAGAGAAGCTTTAAGGGTTCCTTCATTTCTCATTTTGGCTGTTGAATCTCCCTTCTACTTTGCTAATTCAACATACTTGCAAGAAAGGTAAGTCAAGAAGCCTCATGGTTGAATATGAAGTGTAGCAGAAGCAGTTTCTGAGTGATGATTTTAACATCTTGTCTTGGTGCAGGATTCTGAGATGGGTCCGAGAAGAGGAAGAGCGCATAAAAGCAAACAATGAAAGCACATTGAAGTGCATAATTCTAGATATGACAGGTACATTTTATGAACTTGCAATGACCATAAACCTATTTTTTGAGAATCAAATGATGGTGTCAATATCCATCTAATACAATTCAGAATTTGATCTGTTAGTTTCATTATATGACTTCAAAAACAATACAAGTACCACAACCTTTGGAGAATAAAAAATTCTGAGAGTTGATAAATAATCATATCATTAGTAACAAAAGCGATACAAAAATCTGCAAGTACCCGATTATGACACCATCTTCCAAAGACTAACATCAATTTTTCATCGATTTACAACATTAACAAACAAAAATTTTTCAGTCATTTTGACTCATCAAATGTTATTTTCTCAGCTGTAACAGCCATAGACACGAGTGGAATTGACACACTACGTGAAGTTAGAAAGATTCTGGAAAAAAGATCACTTCAGGTATTGAAGAATAAATGCAATATTCTAGAAGGCCCTTAGACTTACCAAGTTTTCTCCCTGATCCTTATTAATTTTCTCGCTTGTATGCAGCTTGTGTTGACAAATCCTGCAGGGACTGTGATGGAAAAGTTGCATCAGTCAAATATCTTGGATTCCTTTGGGCAGAAAGGCCTCTATCTCACAGTGGGAGAAGCTGTGGCTGACATTTCTTTGTCCTGGAAAGCTTAACCTTGATCCATATAAAAGGCATTTACTGACTCAGGAAAAAACTATGGAAACTAACACCACCAAACTTTTGGCAATTAGAGAAAACTCGAATAGTGTTGGGAGTTTTTTTGTTGGCTGGTGAAAAATACCTTGCACTTTTCCCAGAGTCAGCCTTTGTTTTAGTGAAAAGTAAGGCTTGTTCCTTACCCATGAAAGTTTCTCATCCCAATTAGATGCTCCTAGCCTTTCCTTCAGCTAACAGAGGGCTGATGGTCTTGGCTATATTACTTTCATCCTTTTCTTTTTTCCCAACTGTTATCCTTTTCGGCCTTTTTTAGAAAGAGAATCCAGGAGAGATGTCCTCGTCACTCCATTCTTGTGGAGGTTGTGAGTTAAAGTATATGAACATCTGCTATTAAATGCAACTAATTTTACAAATCAAAATTTTCTACCTCAAGGGACTGTGAATGTCAGGTTTGCAAAGAATGCAATTCATGTATAACAGATGGAGTCTTTCATATATTCATAACATCCCTGGGATCTTTGCAGGGTCCCTCGCTGGCTAGGAGAAACCAAATTAAAAAGAAAAACCAAGAATTAAACTACATAGGCTACATACAGGATGATCAACTGCAAATTTGAATCCCATATTGATGTAACAATGAAGCAAACATGTCTGTAACAGAGGTTCATTCAATTTTCTAACTTAACACTCTTGGGTAGAAAGTTGTGCAACCTTTAACAAATTTTATGATTGTAAGCAGACCTAAGAACTAGAAAGAAGAAAAAAGAATCACTAACTTCTAGAGTTGAATAATTCCCTGAAAAATGGCGTGCCCAGTCTGCACTGAGTATGAGTTTTCTTCCCCGTAGCTGAGGAGGAAAACAGAGGAAAAGGCCATTCTTTCAATTGCATAACAAACTTCTGCACTTCAAGTGCTCTATAGGGCACAGAAACAACAGCAGTTGCAGTGTCGCAAGACAATTTTTTACGGACTAGAGCATATCCAACCTTCTTCCAGTCAAACATCTGCAAGAACTCAACATTATCAGATGATTCAGATCGCTATTTAGTGAGACATGGACTCACAATGAATGCAAACAAATAAAATATTATTACTGTCACCAATTAAAAATATATATATATTCCCCACAGTCTGCATGTTTGAGGGGAAAAATGCATAGGAATTTAAATGGAAATTTCAGAATCAACTAATGCAATTAGCTCAATCACAGAGAGAGAGAGAGAGAGAGAGCATCTCTAACTGTTCACAATGAAAGCAAAATGAAATGTGGCTTTTAATTACAGTTCTAAACCAACAACATAAGCGCATTAGAATATGAGTGTTATACATGCCCAAACATAATCATAAATTAATGTCGAGGTCTCTGAGCCCCAAAAAAAAAAAAAAAAATAAATAAAGAAAATAAACAAGAAAATAAGGGCCAGCAGGACAACACGACATGAATGTGAATGCTAGCCTAACATTAATTTGAAAATTTAACATGCATACAGACTTGTAAATATATAAATAGTCATGCAAGATTAAATAGCCACGGGATATCCAACTGGTCAGCCAAACATCCATACAGGAAAAAGTTCTCACTCTAACGGTATCGGGTTATTGGTATCTCCCGACGTTCACGCCTGATGCACAGATATTCACCTAGAAATGCCATCACTGCAATTCCAGTACCATTCACAATCCACCATGTTATGGAAGATGGCCAACCTCCATAAACTATGCATATAAAAAGATGAATGATGTAGAGGGTGGCTGAAAAGTCCAAGCACTTCTTTGCCCTTTCAATCAAAACAAGCATACAAGCAGCCCTGCAGAAACAAGATAACTGCATAAATACAAGCCAAAGTAGTTTGAGACTTTCAAATAAAAGAGTTGTTACAAAAGTTCATTCTGAGAAAGCCAAAATATTGTAGCGACATAAATCCACGACAGCTATGGAGATCTAATTAAAAGCGTTCAATATCACTTCTAAATTTTGTTTATCAAAGGGTCAATGGATCATCGGAGCCCTGGTGAGCATAAATAAGAAAATGCGCAATATACAGATAAGGTCTTGCAGAAGTTTAAAAAGTGGTCCAGACTCAGAAGCTTCCAAAAAAGAGCAAATGTTAACGATTTCCTTGTGATATTAAATATAGATTCTATAGATTCGGATATGGATCTCTAAGACTCTAACGACTAGAGTTGATAACCTGATTGAAATTGAATTATAGGCAAATGAGCATAGATTCGTGCAATACGATCAAATATCGATCACAACTTATAGTCAGCAACATACTCAGGAATTGGAGCCTAAGCAAACTCATGGGGGTCAGTAAGGCGAAGTAGAATATTTACGCTGCAATTGAGCTGAGAAGAAATGAAGCGATAACACAGCAGCCAGTTATTGTAGAGGTAGTGACGGTTACATAATCAAAGAAATACACGAGACTCAGCCGAGACACTCGTGTTCCAACAAGTATAGCTAAGAAGAGTCCAAGAGTGATATAGTATACGCATTGAAGACAAACAATTTGTGCAACAATAAGCCAAGGGTCCCATACCGCCGCCCCATAAAACATGACGGCAAGCTATTCTCGCAAGCACTTTATCTTCCAATATCTATTCAGTCATAAAATTACCCTGAAGGAACAGAATTGAATTCCTAAACTTTGTAAACTAATATAGCCTCGTCTCCACAAGGCGACCAAATTGGTCAACCAATTTTTCACGAAGCTTCAAACCCCAACCAAGCTTGCTACATTCATTTCTTCCATTCCACTCCACTCCTTAGCATACGCTTCAAAGTCGAATTATTCACACGGATTCAGATCTGGAAGTGATAAATAAGGATAGCGAATTCGACATGTAGATCTTGAGAAAACATCACCGAATTTGTCGAACAAACACAGACAACTCGAGCCTCAGGTTGAAGATATACAGAAAACCGCATCAGGGATTGAACGAATATGTAGAGATCAAGATAGATGACAAGAATTGAAAATGTTTCTACCGCCTCTGGGGTGAGAGAGCTGCCATGGAAATGAAGGACGAAGTTTTTTGTCCTTTTGGGCCAACAACAACGAAGAATCAAAGATTCAGAGCCATTCTCCACAAAGCGGGGAGCACAGACTCGAAATGTCGTTTTACTTACATCACTACTCGTTTTACGACACAAGGCAATGTCTGCTGTGCCGTTGTCAAATTCACAATATTAATTATTAATTATCTATTTTCCAGATTTCATATAACCCCCCCCCCAAAAAGTTTTTTTGCTTACTTATTATCCTTATTTTCAGTTTTTTTTTATGGGACAAATCCTTATTTTCAGAGTACTGCCTGCCTCCCTTCATCTTTTTTGGCCTAAGAAGTTTTTTTATTTAAAAAAAGAAAAGAAAAGAAAAAAACAACTGATCCTATCATGCAAAGATTTAAAAAAAAAACACTTGATATAGCCAAAGCTACAACTAGCAAGCATTGACTGCATGTCGGAGTTATAGCTAATAATTCAACTCAATATACTATTTTTAATTGGGTTAAGCGCAAGTTTGCTTAAAAGTTTATATTCAGGAACTTATTATATTAAAAGGCTTTTTAGGAGTAAATTTATCTCAAAATTTTAAAATCATAGCAATATTTTCTCTTTTTATTAAAAATGTTAATGATAAATATTACTATTTTAATGATTAATATTAGTTTTTTTATGATATAAGACAATATTATTATAATTTTAAACATATGAAGCAATTTTGCTCTAAAAAAAATTCCTGCTTCTGCAACAAATTTAGATCTTAACCCATTGTTAATTTTTCAATTTCTAGAAAGCACTTGATTATTAATAGCTGAAATCTCATAATATCATGAAGTGATAATTGAAATAAACGCTTTAGACTTAAAGGGATAAAGTTTAATTTTGGATTATTATAGGGAATCAACTGTAACATACCCGAAAGAGAATCGACTTAAGTACAACATTAACCGGCTTCTCAAGGGAAAATATTACATTGTGAGTCTGCTCTTCAATTTGGAGGAAAAAATATTACAGCTACTTAGATGCTCTATGTCACTGGGGGTTAGGCCTTCTTCTCCTCACATTCTTTGGTGCATTTACAGCGATCTTGTCCTTGCTTTCACCACTTTTATTCTGCACTGGCTCATTATTAACAGTAACTTTTGAAGAATTCATTTGATTCCTTAACCGCAATATCTCACCCTTGGCCGCAGCCAATTCCTCCTCAAGTTTCTTGCTCCTGTTCTCTAAGGTCTCTCTCTCCTTCCCAAGTCTCATGATGATGACATGAGCATCTTCAGTGTTCTCTTGGGCTTCTTTTTGTGCAATTTTCTGCTCTGCAAGGGACTTTTGAAGCACCTCTTTCTCATTTTCAAGGCTTGAAATAAGAGACTTAGCCTTCTCATATTCACTGGAAAGGATCAATGCATTTCGGTTCAATTCATCTAGCGATTTGGTCGCATCCTCTAGGTCCTTCTGGAGTGATCTCTGAGCCTCTTTGTTTTCGGTGACTAGCTGCTCCAGAGATTGTATGTTAGCTTTTAAAGAAGTGACTAATTTTCTCTCTTCTTTCAAATCCTCTGCTGCAAGTTCAGCCTTTTTGTAGACATCGACCAACTCCCTCTGTAAGCTATCACAGCTTTCAAGGGCAGTTATAAGTTCATTGGACTTACTTTGCAACTCAAGCTGTGTTCTCTTTAGATGTTCCTTTGCTGTCGTAAGCTCAACGGCTAGCGTTTCTGCACCAAGTTTGGCATCATCAAGGCTCTTCTGTAGCGACTCTTTAACTTCAGTGAACTGAGCTGAAAGCTTAGAGACCTCAGCCTTCAGCTCAGAGTTCATTGTATTTGACTCAGTTAGACGTTTTTCCAATTCAGCAGCCTCATTCCTTGATTTTCCCAGATTCTCCTGTGTGATTTGGAGTTCATGCTTCAAATTATTCACCATTTTTGACTCATTCTTGAGAGACTCATTCAAACTATGCCTTTCTTGGGTCAAATCAGCAATGATAGCTTGGTTTTTCTTTGCTTCATTAAGCGCAAGTTGTAGCTTTTCATTTAACTGATGAAGCTCTCCCTCTGTTTCCCTTAAAAGCTTAGCATCTGAAGCAGCCTTCTTTTCGGCATTCGCCTTTAGGCCATTGTATTCCTCCTCCAGGACACTATATTTTTCCCTAGAAGCATCCCTCTCAAGAGTCAATGTACTTATTTTAGCATTGAGTTCGTTCACCAACGAATCTTTGGCTTCTAGCTCCTCTTGACGTTTCTGTAGTTCATCTTTCACACCTTGAATTTGCAAATGAAGATTGGACACGTCATCCTTGGTTTGATTATAGGCAGAATTCAAATTCCTCAATTCCAATTCCTTTTCTGCAAGTGATGAACTAAGATTCTGAGCAACATCTTCTTTCTCCTTGAGCTCAGAACTTAGCAGATTAATCCTCTCTTGTAAGGTTGCAATAGAACCTAACTCTTCTTTCAAACTTTTTTCAAGGCTTTCCTTGTCAGCATCAGTTTTTGAAAGCTCACTTCTAAGGTTTTCTATTTGGAGTTTCAGCTCCTCACCTAAACTTTTCTCACTTTTTAATTCCTTCCCTAAGCGAGCGGCAGTATTGTTTGCTATATTAATTTCGTTCATCAAAGCCTGCTGCTCTTCCTTAGCTTTTCCAAGTTGTTTGGATCGTTCCTGCTGCTCATTCTCTAACTTGGAATCATAGTCTTTTTTCAAGGATACAATCAGCTCTTCCTTATCCTTTAGTTTTCTGTTCATCTGTGCACAACCGGTAACATCTATGGCTTAAACCTAATAAATAAACCATACATACATTCTAACAATTAATAAATCATTTCGAAAAGAACTTTATCCTTATAAGATCAAATTACATTAGAAGAAGCTGGATAGTTGTTTGTTCCTGTAATAGGAAAGGTAAAGTTACTCCCAGATTTTCTTTTTATTCTGGAAGTCCGTTTAGAAGAAACATTTCTCAACTGCTAAAACATATGCTCAGATGTTTCAAGAAGTGCTGGACAGTGAAGTCTGTACAGAAGCTTACCGACTCTATTGTTGAGCGAGCAGCGGTGCTTTCTTGCTGAGCCAATGCATAGAGAGCACCTAATACACCAGAGGAAAGTATTCCAAATGCATTCAGGAAAGAGACAAAGGGATTTGATGGTCTGTCACTTTGTTGTGCCCTCTGTCCATGAAAGTAACTGAGTTTAGTAATATTTTGGGCATGCCAATGAGAAATATGAGAAACACCAATAAACCGCTTTATCTGAACTAAAAAACTATTGAAACCTCTACTTTTCGGTTGTCCTCTGCTGTCTCCACATCACTTTCTTCTGGAAAGGAAAAAGAAGAATTACACGAGTTTTAGAAAAGAAGATACTGTAATGTTCTATGAAACAACTAAGCTGGTAGTATGCGCAGCTAAGAAAAGGACTAGGAAAATAAAATGCAGTACATACCCTGAAGCCCCTACTTATTTTTTTGGGGGCCAACTTTGTCACACATTTACAAGTAATACAAACAACAGAAACTCATACGTATACAGAATGGATTTAGCTTGGAAAAAGATGGAAGATTTTTTTTTTTTTAAAAAAATATATTTATGGAGTTCATTGTTACTTTTATAAGGGACAGAGAAATCAAGAATAACATGTCAGTCTGACAATATTTTAGTAGTACCGAGCTATACATTTATTTTACAACATCATAGAAAAGGAAAGAAAATTCTAGATTCCATAATATTGATACAAGAAAGCAGTAACGAGAAAATACATTACAAAATAAAAGTAAAATAACCATTGTAGACTTGACGGGTAAACTTGTGATATTTTTTCTCGGAATGACGGAAAAAAAAGTGAGAAATTCTCTATATTGCCTTATTTTATCATCAGTTTCTTTAATTACCATGAAGTGGTTAATATTGTGTCTGAATCATATCAGGTAATGGATCTAAGGCATAAAGCTTAGACCTCCAGTTCTTCAAGCATTTCAGGAAATTCCTCCTTGATTATACCCAATATCACAGTAATAAGGTGGCAGGAACTCTGATATTGTCAAATTATTCAACAAACCCACGGAAAATTTAAAGCAATAAAAAGTAAAAGTAGTGAACATCAATTAAGCCTGGGCACCTACTTTGGCGACACGGCAACCAATGGTCAGATAAGCAAGAAGAAGAGGTTATGGCTGAATTACGTGAATATTAGGGTTTCGCTCCGAGTAATGATACCCGTAAAGCTACCTCATCCAAGATTTTGAAGTGTACCATAAAGAACCTAGTGACAACACTTCAATCTGATTTACTTTGCATCCATCAACCAAAATGAAGAAATATGAGGTCAAAAACAGGTCACAAACTCTCATCAAAGTCACGGTTCAAAGCAAGATACAAGGAATTTCAGTGTTGAAAGAACACGACGAAAACTACAATTCTTCCGGAATGGTCCCATCGATTTGAATCATGTGAAAACCGTGCTCCCGGAACCAGACGAAGTAAACTTAAAAGAACTCAGATATTTAAATAGGACTGATCAAATTCAGTGGACAGCAAACCAGCCAACGCTTTCTCTAAACGAAACACAAGGAAGATCTACATCACTAGAGCCATCTACCTAACATGCGAAATTCGGAGGTGTTATCGATATCGAAAACATTAGAAATCTTAAACTTACTTGTGGCCAATCCTTCAATAGCCCTGGCTCTGAATCCCAGCAAAGGAAGAACAGCGATACCCATGAAGATAACTGTCCTCTTATTGCAAAAACCGCTCTCATTTGGGCTTTCTTGACGCAAACACGCCATTGGAGCTCTGAACTTCTTCCTAGCGTGTGCATTTCTTGGCCAAGAATTAGATTGAAACGAAGAAGAAGACGAAGGGAAGGGAAACTGATAGAGGGAAGAATTTAAGAAGCAAGAGCTTCCCGCCATGAAGCCCATCTAGTTCGATATTCTCTTGCAAGAATGGAGTGAGCTCGTTCCCTCTTCTGCTCTATCTTTTCAATTTTTGCTTAAGCTTCCATGATCACCCAATGTTGAAATACCTTTGTACCAAAAAAAACAAAAACAAAAACAAAAACAAAACAAAACAAAGAACGAAAAGTTGGCATTCGAAAGAAGAAGTCACGGGGTGGAGATTTTTTTTGGTATAATCCATCCAACACCTCAACATATTTTATGATATAACCCACACATAAAAATATTTTTTAGATATCTTTAGCATTTAAATATTTTTTTGCCTTAATACTGAATACATTAAAAAAAATTTAATACTAAACATATATAAAAAATATTTTGAGATATTGAATATATTAAAAAATATTTTAAGATGATGAACGCACTTAAAAAAATATTTGAGGACATTGAATATATTTAAAAAAAATATTTTGAGATATTAAATACACTTTAACCCTTAAAAAAACAGTAAGAGAAAGAAAAGGACAAAAAAAAAAGCTTCCCATAATTTTGTAATATATTATCCGAAAAAAGATGAAAAATTCTCACCTCTCTTTTTATTATTATTATTTAATTAAATTACATTTACCTCTGAATTTCACCAAATTATATTTGGTGCTTTTTTAAAGAAAATGAATTAATGTTTTTATTTGACCTTGAGAAAATGAATTCATGTTGAATCCGTTTAATTATAATTATGAGCTGATATATTGAATCTTCTATCGCTCTTTTCTTTTTGACAAGAATCTTCTATGTTTACATCTTTATGATATATAAATATACATATTATATGTAGTAACTTATTTTTGTTGAATATTTAAGTGCAATTAAATCTTTATTATTAAAGTTAATCACTGGTATTTTGCCCTGATTGCAAACTTTAAAAACAAAAACGTAGTTAAATTAGTTTACACGTTTTAAGTTTTCTTAAATATATTTAAATTAGTATTCACAATAATTGCCTAAGTTAATGATCAATATCATATGTATAATGTTAAATACATAGAAGTAGTTTAAAATGCCTGCTCACAAAATTATCCATCAACCAAAAAGTATCTAAATTTTTTAAATGAAAAAGAAAGAAAAAAAAAAAAAGATGGACTGGATAGTATACGAGAAATTAATTTCCAATCCATCCGTGTTCCCGCAAAATGACTGTTTTTTCTCGTTCGGAGGTAGGTCCACGTAAGCTAGATTTTGTACTTTTTAAGGGGTTTTCCGTTGCATTTTGACTCAATAAAATGACCGAAGAAATGATAAGCAATTTTATCCAAAACGTGCGCATTACATGTTGCCACGTCTTAGGCTGCGGCTTTGGGCCCTTCGGATTTTCCTCATCGACAAAAATTCGGCATTTAGAAATGTGAATATCTTATAAGTTTTAAATCAGGTTATTAATAGTTCGCCCACAAAAAAAAAAAAACAAATCAGGTTTTTTTTCACTTCTGTTTAGAGTTTAAACTCCGGCACCTTTTTGCCAAAATTTTAGGGGGGGGGGGCTCCAGGCCATTGCTTTTAATTTTGACAAAAAATCAAAGATATACATTCAATTTCAATTTAATTCCTTAATCTTGAAAATATTTTTTTCAGTCCTTTAAGCATAGCACTTTTAATCTCAAATGATGATTTTTAATGACACATTATTTTAAAAATTAAAATTAATATGTCAGCATTTAATCAACAATTAAGAGTTTAATAAAAAAAACACTTCATATAATTAAAGAACTAAAATAATAAATCTTGCGTAAGGCTAAAGAATCAAAAGTTGACCTGTGCCTTTGCTTTTTTTCACTTGCATGATAATACACTGCATTAAAATCAGAATGTTTAAAATTAAATCCATAGTCCAATTTATGACGAGCCCCCCAAAAAAAAAAAAAATCAATTGTAAGCAAACAAGCGCATAAGCACACTGCTATTCAAAAAGCAATAACATTTTCAAGAGTCATCACAAATTCACAACAGATAGAACTCGTTTTTCTACCTAATGACTCATCCCACCATGAAAACTGGTACTTCACAACCATGTTTTTTTTAGCTTATTTGTGAACAGAACAGATTACCCACATTTTTTTTAGCTATTTTTAAAAACTTCATTATCACCATGGGGAGTAAACAGAGGAGGACTCTTATTTGGCCACGGGCAGATTCATGAGGAAGACACCATGGAAGCTCGAATCAGGAGAGCTCTCCGCCGAGTTATTTTCACTTTTCTCCTCAGCTAAAATCTCCTCAGAGCGACAATCAAAACTGCAAAATGCTTTCTCACCCCTGCAAGATAAGCAAATAAGCTAAAAGTGACACTTCTGGCTTTTTCAAAAACAATAGTTGCATGGAAATTCTACGTGAGAAGTGAAAGAAATTCTTGCACATAAAATGTGATAGCTAACGGTGCAAGAAGTCAATAGATGCCTAACAAAGTAAGTGTTCGAGTGGAATGTAAGATTTTAGGCAGTCAAATCCAATACAGTTACACCAGTTTTAACAAGCTTTTATTGACTCTTCACACCAGCAAGGTGCCAACCCCAGCAGTCAGCATTTTGACTATAAATCATGCAGTCTAGTTCAAATGGCCCATTAACTTTTCAGTATATAGATTAGCTATGTCGCTCGTAAAGAAAATTCGCAGATGAGCAGCCTAAAGTAACCCCATGTTCCTTACAATTGCAATTTCCCTTCACCATTAACATATTTAATCTCTATAAATTTTTTTCTCCCCAAAAAAATGCATAATTTGCAGTCGAAATGCAAAGTGTGGGGAGATTGGAGATCCATGATCAACACCGGTTGGTTGTTCAGTGTAGACAATGCATGCAAGAAATGATAGGTGCAAGGTTCAAACCTGTAGATGTAAACATCTTTCCCTTCTTCCAATTTCTTTTTGCATGAGTAACAAAAGCTCAAGACATTGTCAGAGGGATAAGGATTTGCTGATTCTTCTGATAATGAAGGTACCTTATAGAATCTCATCACAGGTTCTTCTTCCTTCTGGCCCAACTGGGTTAAGTCAGTTTTGTGACATTCCAAAATACAGTCACCAAAAATATGTGTTCGCTTAGGGTTTGGACCATGAGAAATAATACAGGTATAATCCTCAGAAAGCTCTATCTCTCTTGCCGAGAGCGAGCCTAAATATCCATTACTAAAATCAATGGATATAGGAAGTGAACTTGGTTTGACATTTGAAAGACAATCTAACTGTGAGCTTGGACCAGTTACGGGAGCCAAACTCGTTCCTGAAGATGAATTTTCTATACAAAATTCATCAGTGCTCAAATTGAAAATTTGACTTGGATCTATTGATGATGAGGAGGGCTTAGTGGCAACTGGCAAGGACATCATAACATTCTTGAAAGCTTCAGATTCCTTAGGGAACTCTCTATTTCTGGAGGCATGGTTGAAGCTCACAGGTTCAAATTTGGAATTTTTCATTTCAGAAATAACATAGTTCTTTGGCAAAGAATTAGATCTCACACGAAATGGAAAGTATTCATAGCAAGTCTTTGATGTTTTATGAATGCCAGTCTTCACCTGTGGTCCAAAAACTATATTCTTCCTCCGAGATATTCCCTGGATTTCACCGTCTAGCTTGGTTTCTTCATCAAGTGTGTTTATGATACCAAGGCCCATCTTACAGCATTCAAAGTGCTTTTTTTGTCCACTTTGGGAAGATGGTCTTGAAGACTTGGCACTAAATGGGTTACTAAGATTTGAAAAAAATCTGAAATCGAGGGGCGAAGTGGGGCTCCATGCTGAATCAGAATCTGATAACCCTTTAGCACAAAACCCCACCTTAGAACCAGAAAACTGGAAGAATGAGTTGCTTATGTGTCTAAGGCTTAGTATATCACAGTTGAAAGAGGAATCCGAAGAAGAATCAGCCATGAGACTACAAAACATTCAAATAAGTCTGTTTTCTCCTCCTCAGCATTATCTGAAGCCTGATTCTTCTTCAAAGGAAGAGACCATCATTTTGTCACCGCATCAAATTCAAAAAGCCAAATAAAACAGCGCAATATTAGTTTAGTTCTCAGTCAAGGACAATCATGTTCAGAACACAGAACCACGAGCACAAAAGAAATTGCTCCTTTTCCATGTACACAGAAATAACTGGAAATGGAGCTTGCAAGTTTTGGAAGTGATTAACAGCTATAACTTTTTCATACTAGCAAATAAATCTTTGCCCAAAAAGAATACCAAGAGAGTACCAATTTCCATTTCCGCTTATATGCTGCTTGAAGCGCTAAACAAGAATTTGTATTTCCATTAGAAATCAAATTTAGGATTGAGAATCTCATAGGAAACTAAGAAACTGAGTAAATAGACCTTTAAAAAAACGAACGATTCAAACACCCCGAAAGGCTTTAAAAATCAAACCGATATTGGATTAAAGATTGTATTAAAGATTTGACAACACGAGAGAAACAGCAATGGTCACATTTTGGAAGCCCCGAATCAAGAAGTCAGTTTCTGCAGACGACACATACACCAACACAGAGGGTAAGTTCCGGAATGACTCATACGAAGAATACTGATAACAGATCATTCCTGCTCGAAGTCGCACAGGACCCCTCTGTTCTCAACCGAGAAATTATCTAATTAACCCTCCGACATAAAATCTGATTGAGAAATCTCACAAAAGGGTCTCTAATTTTAACCATTAAAACTCCCCCCCCCCCCGGCTCAGCGAAAGCTCCGAAACATTCTTGAAAATGAACTGCCAAAAATTCTAGGGAAAAGTTTCGAGAAACAAGAACTCCGATAATGCAACAGATGAGTCAGCATTCAGCGATCGAAGAACACACAGAAAAAGAAAACGAAAAATCACAGTGAAGTGAAAACCCACCTGGTTTTCTTCTTCGGAATCCCCCGACACTTGAAATTCAAGAAAACTCAAAAGCAGGGGCTTAGCAAAATCGGGATTCGGCGAAAGAGCGAAAAGCCAAAATTTTTGCTCAGCACATCGCTATCTTCAATATTTTTCATCTTCATTTATTAACAATCTCAGGACCCTCTTGCATGCATCAAAGTCAGAGAAACAGTGAACCACTGAGACTTCCAATGTACACTGCACATACAAACACACTCTATCTCACATCACTCTCATGATTGAGGGCTAGAAATACGTAGAGTACACCATATACCGTATATTGTACGAAAATACGTAGATTAAGCAACCTGTTTCGTGCAAACCACTCAAAGAAAGTGGAAATTCAATACGAACCTGAACCGAAGAAGAACATTTAAAAAACTCTTGGACCGTGTAAATAGTGCCACGTGACTGTGGGGCCCAGGGACATTTTCTTTGTTTGCCATCCATGGCGATTGAGTGGATATACATGAGATGAGAATTAGCCATTTTTTCCATTTAAAAAATGAATCTTGTGGGGTAATTAAAATTAGTTTTTAACTTTTTGCGAGGAGAGTCAGCAAATAAGGGGAAAAGGACAAAAGCACAAAGCTGAGTTGGGCTTCGCAAAAATAACTGACCAACGTACACCGTCCACAAAAATAACGTCTATGGGTCACCATCTCTGAGTTCACCCATTTAGTTTTTTTTTTGTTTTTTTTTATTTTAGCAATATAATAGCACTAGAATAGTAATATAGCAATGATAGGAGCGGCATCTTTAAAGAAATGGCAGGAGTAATTTTATCTTTTTATTATTAAATTAAATTTAAATATATAAAACTTCTATAATTTAGTTAATATTATTGTTAATCCTTATAATGAAATCAAAATTTTTGTTTTAATCCTTATATTTTTAATATTTTTATCTAAATTTAACAAATGGCCGCATATTTTAAAAAAGTTTAGGTTTTCATCCCTATATTTAAACTCACATCAAATCCTTATGAAACTACCAGGATTCAAACTAGTGATCTGAAAATATAAGGACTAAAACCAAAATTGAATCAAAATATAAGGAGTAATTATAATACTATTTTTGGTTTTTAGTATAAGATTTCGTTTGATTTTTATTTTGGTTTTAAATATAAAACTCAATCCTCTTTGTCTCTTATATTTATGCATTTTTTCTAAAATAGTTCTTCTAATAATAGTAGTTCTGACCATACATTTAATTAGTAAGGATATTTTAAGAAAGACAACACCTATTTATTACAAAAAAATAACTTAACTTATTTTTTTAATCTATTCAAATTAGTCAACTAGCTCTTATAATTAGGACCGGAGATAACCTTTTATAATATCAAGCTATAAATGTGATACAAAAAGTAGATACATAGTTCCAGGCCAAAAAAATATGGATACAAAATTTTTTTGAAAAATATCTTAGTAGCTACATGAATATTGATTTTATACATCAGAAACATTTTTTTTTTTTGACCAGCTACATCAGAAACATTTGAATTCTTATTCTAGTATATACTAACATACAAGTGCATATTATTGTAGGTTTGCTAGTTTGATTGATATTTTTAGATCCGTTAAATAATTTTTAATGACGGTTGAAAAATAAAAATGAATTGGAGAAAACATACAATAATATGTTGAGTACAAATATTTTTAAAATATCCACTTTTGATAAATAAAAATAACGAAACTTTTTAATGATTATTTTTCCCACCATTAAAAATACAATAAATATTATTAAATGAGGAAAAAAAAGGTTATTTCCTCTTCTAAAGGTCTAATATAAAACAGTTTTGGTTTTTTTTTTTTTTGGGTTGTAAAAAACTCCCCGTAATAGCCAATAGTTCGAAACCTTGAAATCAATTGAGCTCACATTATCTTCCCCCCCCCCCCCCCCTCCTTTTAGATGAAACAACCTCAGTTGAGTTATCAAATTGAAATCATGACTAATTATTCAGTTGTAGCCTTAACTAATTTACTGTTTTATATGGTTGGCAAAAAAGTTATTTTTTTATGTTTAAGCATTTAGGACCGGAGGAGATACGTGTCTATTACCTTCGATTTAAATTATAAGACCTCAGTTGTAATGTTTTTTATAATTAGAACCAAAGGTAGTATTTTTTATGGACTTTTTTCACTGTCCAAATATTGAATACTATTCCGTTTTTTAGTATAAAAACCCGTTTGATACTTAATTTGATCCTGATATAAAACTTTTAATTCGTTTTGTTTGTTATATTTATCTATTTTTTTAAATTAGTCATTATATTAGTTGTACATGTTAAGTGTTTTATGAGATGATAGTTTTAGCTAATACGCATGATCACTAAGAATATTTTAATAAAGATAGTACCTATTTATTATAATAACTAACTTAACAATTTTTTTTTCTATTTAAATTAATAAATTAATTCTTCCATTAAGTATCAATACTCAAAACTTTCTTCTCCACAAATACATAAGAACATACGGCAAAATAAAGCGAAAATCTCTGAATGATGAGGACATAAAAAGGAATTAAAAAAATACTAATAACTGAGAATCAAATTGTCTAAGAATAAACATTAGAAAAGACAAACAATTTCAAGACATGTCCCTTCGTTTTTTTACCCTAACAAGACAAACCTTTCATTATCTTTCTTCGTTATCATCATTAATAATTTTTTCTTGTTTTAAAAGCAAAATAGAGGTAGAAAAAATAGAGCATATATTGTGGAACAAATGCGTTACCTTTTAACAAAACTCAAAGAATTAACTCACTTGGCGTTAGAACCAAAGGTATGTATTCTCGTTGTTTTAACAAATGTAAATAGATGCTATTATTTGCATAATATATCAACGTATTTATATTTTTGAATTAAAATTATAGGGTAATTTTAAAATTGAAACAAAAAGAAGAATAAATAATTTCATACATATTTATCACGTATGATTGTTCCAAAAATAATTTGAATTTAAACACCTTGAAATTAAAAAATAACAGGAACAAATAAAGAAAATGATTAATAAATGTTCTTTTTTTTTATTTTCAGTAATTATTTCATTTTTATTTTAATTATTCTTTCTTCTTTAACTTTTTTAATATCTTCAATAGTTTGATGTGGCTTTGGTTCCATTTATTTTTTTCCCGCCTTTTTCCCACGATATTTAACATGGGCCATCCCTTTATATGATTTATGTTTTTTATTTAATAAATGGTTTGTGTCTTTCCATCTATGCATTTTAATTTCATGATACCTATAATTCGGTACATATACTTTCTTTGTAATTTTGAACGCAGCTATACTTTTTTTTTCATTTTTAATTTGATATTTTATATTTTTTCTGAATTAAACTTTTTAATTTTATTTATTGGTACTCTTGGCTTCTGTAATTTTATATTTTTAGCACCATTAAGCTTTATATAAGAGTTAATAATGATAATAGAGCAAAGTTAAATATTTAATTAAAAAAATATACACTTATTTGATCTTATGTATAAGTCACTTTCAATATATTCCACATATATTAAAAAATTTTAAATTTTATTAATTCTCATTTAAAATTTAACACTCCAACTTTATTTCTATTTAATATACATTATACTCCATGAAAGCAAAAGTAATACAATAATAAATAAAGAGTAAAATTTTATAATCATATAAAAAATTTTCTTTATCTTATAAATAAGACCAAATTTTTTTTATTTTTTTATCTTATAAATAAGACTAGAACAGTATATACCAAATTAAAAATTTAAAAGAAAAAAGTATAAGTAACTGCAAATAATTTGAAAAAATAAATTAGAAATTCCTGGGCCAGATCCGAGAGGCTGCAAGCCTACTATTAACGGCGTGAGAAAGAGAGGAATATCTCGAAGTTCATGATTCAGCGGGACCCACATGGGTCCCACATCTTGTGACAAAAAGGGTGGCGTAATGATTCCTCCAACTGTTATTCTGGTTGCTGTATTTTCAAATCAGCCCCTCACTTTTTTCGTATTTTTTTATTTGAGGCCTAATCAGTACTCCCTCCGTTTCTTATTATAAGAGACACTTGATGTTTATACTATGTTCCTATATATAAAAGACACTTACAAGTTGTCTCTATTTTTTTGTGTTGATTTACTATTTTATCCATATTTATTATCTCCAACTCACACTCTCTCTCCCTCCCACTTCTCTTTCTTTTAATAATTTAATTGTTCTCTCTCATGCTCTCTCTCCTTATTAATGAGGGCATTTTTAGAAAAAAAATTATACTTTTTATACATTAATTGTTCTTAACTAACTTTAACTGTTTTTTTGATTAACGTACTTTGATTATTTGTCTTTTATAATAAGGAACGGAGGGAGTATAATATTTATTTTTCTGATCTTATTTTTTTTATCACTCAACCCTCAACTCTTCTATTTTGTCGTTTTCTTCCCACTGTGCTCCGAACAAACCCACACGTGCTTCCTCGCTTGGTGTGCATTCTCATGCAATCTAACGGTTAGCCATCAAGATTCTCTGCCATTTGTCAGTCCATCTAACGGGTACAGTTGATCTATCGCACCCTGGGGTCCTCCGCATGTGCCGCGCATATTAAATCCTTAAATTTTTTTTTTAAAAAATCTTGTTTAATATTATTTTTTCACGAAATTGTTATCATTTACTTATTAAATGTTGTCAAAACCAATATTAAAGTTATAATGAGTCTTTATTTGTAATTTGTTTATTTTTATGATTTTTTGGGTACTTTTTCCTATTATTTTTGCCAATATTTTATACATTAAAAATGTCAAAAAAAATAATTCAAGTGCGAGTCCCAATAAATCTTCAAACCTATAATTTCTGCAATAATAATGAGGTAATATTCCAATGCATCCCCATCTCATATAAGATGTTCACAAGTGGCTTGGTTTTGAAAATTAACTAATATGTCTGCATTTAGTCTAAACCCATATAGGATCCGGTATCTTCAAGTTGCATCTTTATGTAATTTGATCCCTTTTCAATTTGTCTTTAAGTATTTTTAATCTAATACTACCTCCAGTCCTAATTATAAGAACTGGTTGGCTAATTTGAACAGATTAAGAAAAAAAGTCAAGTTACTTATTTGTCATAAATAGGTGTTGTCTTTCCTAAAATATCATTACTCATCAAGTATATTAACTAGAACTGCCATTGTTAAAATGACTATCTTGGAAAAAATACATAAATATGAGAGACAATATAGATTAGAGTCTTATATTTAGGATCAGAATAAAAATCAAACGAGATCATATATTAAGGACCGAATGTAATATTAATGCTTGCAGCATAACATGAGTACTAAACAAGCCAAGCCTTCATTTTCATGTTTCATAAGATGCAAGACATGAAGAAAAGAAGTTATTACCCACAGATGACTTGATTAGTTTACGTTCTTTAATTCATGAATTAATTTCGATACTTGTTATAAAAATAAATATTATGTCATTTATTGTTGTGGTGACATCATCATTGGACTGTGAATTTACTTAACTTTGGCTATTATTATTTATTATCATGGAACCCTATGTGCATTATACCCCAAACCATTCCTATCAGTTAAAAATTTTAAATTTGATTGCAACAACCAAAAGAATCGGATGGAAAAATTGGAAGATGAATTAATTAATTAATTAATTTACAAGTATGTGAATTGGAATTTTTGGTCATTTCCAACAATGTTTCCACAATTTACAACCTTAATGTCCACTGTTTCTAACAAAAATTTTGATTCAAAAATCTTCTAAAATTTATAAATAATTTATAATTAGTTTTTTGACTTTTCAATTGAATTTTTTTAATTTTTATAATTGAATTTTCAAAATTTATCAAGTTCTCTTACTTTACAACTGATTTACAACTTTTTTTTTTTTTGGAGTATTATGACTAAGTCATCCACTTTTTACTATTAAACTTTTCGGATTTAAAATTAAGTTTTGTTGTGTTTGTCAAATATGTAAGGGCATTATCGTTCAAGTTTTTTTTTTTAAAAAAAAGAGGGGGCATTTTCATCCACTTTTTCATTGGTTTTTCAATGTCATTATTTTTCAACCAGAGTTTCTGCGTTATTCTCCCTTTCTTTTTTTTTTTTTTTTGTGGAAGCAACTTCATGCGAGGTCAAGACAAAAAGAACGCAGCTTTGTCCAATAACTGATAACAGTATAGGCCCATCTCAGTTGAACTTGAATAATCTTACTGATAAATAAATAAATATAATAAGTGGATAACTGTTAACGCCCTCGGCTTACATTAGCAGCAGCTATCTTGTATCCAGACGGCTTTTCTATGCAACTTCGTATGTTGCTATCATATTTCACGCTGTTTATGTTCAGCCTTGTCCAAATTTACAAACTTTGCATCCCTTCGATCGTATTCTGGAGGAAATTCGAGAACTTAAACTTCTGGAAAGTTGCATTCTTTCCGGTAAGATTTGATGTCTTCTGATTTTTCCTAGAATTCGATTTGAGCTTGTGAATCAGGGGCTTTGTTTGTGTTCTTAAATTCAGTGTTTGTTTGTTCCGCAGATGTTCATCTGATCTTTTGTTGTTGAAAACAAAAAGTAATTATTGGAGGAGTTAAATCTGTATTGAAGCAAGATAATTGGAGTTTTTCGTTGGTGATCTGGAATTGGTACGAAAGGTTAATTATTGGAGGAGAAATTGTGGGGTATTGTGTACTCTGAGCAGCTGTTAGGCTTGATATTTTAACCCAAGTCAGTGAAAATGGGCTACTTTGTTAGAAGCTAGGAACCAATTTTCTTTTTCCCCCTATTAGTTTTGTGGCTTTACTTGCTTGGGATTGTGGTTTGTTTAATGGATGATACCAAGGATGATGCAAGATATCCCCCTATTATGTATGGTGATAAAAACCATCAAGGTTATGGCTATCTGAATCATCAAAAACATTCGGTTAGGAGTTCTCCATATTCTCAGCCGGTCACAAATGAGTATGTGGAAGATAATGATGATGATGGAGATGGAGAGGATGTAGAACTTTTAGGAGGCGGGGAAGATGATGATGCTGATCAGAGTAATAGTATATATTCCCAAAATGATGTTGATGACAATGATTATGAGGAAGATGATGAGGGTGAAGATGATGATGAAAATGACAATGATGATAATGATGATACTGATGATGATGGTGGTAAGAAGAGGAGTTATAAGAAGAGAGTTGAAGATGATTCAGAATGGCATCCGAAAAAGCGAAAGCTGAAAAGCTTGATTTCAGCTTATGAAGTTGCCCCTCGTGTGCCAGCAGCACCATCAGGGGCAACTCGCTCAGACCCAAAACCATATGTTGGTTCCAGGAATTCCCTTACTGACTGGACTGAAAATGAGACATTCTTTCTTCTTGATGCCTGGGGGAATCGGTTTCTTCAACAGGGAAGGAAGAGTCTTCGGTCTGAGCAATGGCAAGAAGTTGCAGAGGAAGTATCAGAAGTTTCAAAAATTGAAAGGACAGATGCGCAATGTCGGAATCGCCTGGACACATTAAAGAAAAAATACAAAAAGGAGAAAACTAAATTAGCAGAAATGGGTGGTGGATCAAGCAAATGGGTCTATTTCAAAAGGATGGATAAGCTGTTGTCTTCCCCTCCACAGCATGCTGGTCTCTCTTGTGGGTTAGACTCAGGAGAGTATGTTTTTATGAACCCCAGAGTTTATTTGAACCGTGCAAATGGGTTAGATGAAATGAGGGATAGTCCAGGGAATTCAGAATCTACTGGTGAGTATTTAGGTGGACTTAATCCAAAGAAAAGAAGGCATGGGGGGAACAGCGATGAAACTTCCTGCAGATTGGTTGCTGAATCAATTCAGAAATTCGGTGAGATATATGAAAAGATTGAAAATAGTAAAAGGCAGCTGATGGTGGAACTGGAAAAGATGAGAATGGATTTCCATAGAGAATTGGAAACACAGAAGAGGCAGATATTAGAGAGATTGCAAAGTGAGATTGCAAAACTGGACCAGAGAGACAATGAGGATAATGATGTTTCTGTAGAGAAGGATCAGTAATGTTTATGTCTTGTAGCTCCTTTATCATTCTTTTTTTGGGTCTGACATGCCTTGTAGCTCATAATGTTACATAAAATGTAGACACCATCTGCTGTATAATATTCGAGGCATTTCCCCCGTTTTAGAATTTTCTTGTGTAGCAGTACATTTGTCAGGAATGTTGCAATACAGTAGAATGAAAATTGGACAGTCATTATCATGTTATCACTGCATGTGCTCAATGGTTCATACCATTCTAGTCTATTGTTTTTCTCCCCTCTCAACAGCTCATAAGATGCCTTCTGCGAAAATAGAATTTTGATTCTTTAATCTTATTAGTTATTATTTTCATTTTGAAGTGTTTCAAAATAGTCAAATTTGTCTTCAAAAAGTTACTTTTAAATAACTTCAATGAATGTTGAACTAAAAGGAACTTCTACTGAAACCAACGTTGCAGCTCCAAGAGAGGAAAAACGCATTTCCAATTAAGATCCAATAAACAAAATTTTCCCTTCTGGCTTTACATCTGCATTTAGAATGGGGAAAGTATAGCAATGAGATCTGGTTCATGATTTGACTTCGAACAAAATTCGATCAGGCTTCAGGCTTCAGCTTGCCCAAGAAGGGCGCCAATCAAGTGAGGCAAAAATTTCTCAAGGAAAAATGGTTGAATTTAAGGCTTATACCTATATCGATTCAGAACAAAACCATGTCGTGTATCTGAAAAACCATCCGGTTTATGATGTTCTTAATTGCGCAGTCTGAGATAATGCATTAATTCCTTTGTTCCCATGTGAGGAAAAGGGAAGCATTTAATTCGTCTCTACAAGATAAAAGGGTCTATCTTCACTTGCATGCTAATTGGAATCCTGATCCTCTGGAGTTTGAATCTCTTAAGTTGGCGAAGTCTTTGCTAGCGTTATATAAAAATTTGCGCACCTGAAAGGGTATAGAGTACTGATATTATGGGCAGAACTTCACCAATATCAAAGGCTCGAACTTCAGGGGAACCAAATTCATATTAAGGAAAGCAAGTTCTCAGTTAATCACCACTTTCTCCTTCATTGCCAAAATCTCTATAATGAAGATCTTTCAGAATCCTTGATTGTTAATTATACAATTCAAAGAAAAAATGACAAAGAATGTACCTATGAAACTCACTTCCTTTATACTTCCTCATTTTCTACCACTCGAACTTTTTTCTTTTCTCTTTTAGAATTTACAACAACTTCAACATTAAAAACAATGATCCAGAGTCAAGTCCCCCTTAGTCAGATGACCACTCCATGCCTCGACGTGGAATAAGAATAGATTCACAGAGGTTGGAGGGTTAACTGTTAGAAATGTAAACAGTTACCATATAAAAAATCTGGCAGCGTGAAATCAAATTCCCCAGTCGATTCTCTAAGCTGAGTCTCTAATGCCGGTTCAACTTCAAAATTTTTGTACTCTTCAATCAATATGCAAGTCCTCCCTTATGTTGATGCCTTGGTGGAATGAATATGCCCTTGGCTACATCAAAAGTACTTCGCTAAAACTGCATAATCATTATCTTGCTCATCAGTCATGAAAGAACTGTATGTGAGAGAACATAGAGAGAATTCATTAACCATACTATTTGCACTGACAATTATTGTGACTCATAAGTTAGTTTCACAAGACTTCCTCATCACAGGGAGAGAAAGAAAAAAGACAAACAAACAATCACATAGCCTATGTCCCACCAATAGATGCGACATAAAAATATTCACAGGTTAAAGCCAAAATCAGATACATAAACAGTAACTTGAAATCCAGAGGTTAAGCATGCTGTGGCGACCCTACTTCAGGTATCTTCCAAATTTTCACAACGAATAAATAATTTTAACTATGGAAAAGGAAAAAGAAATCAAGAGCACAGTTGGGACGGAGCCCATATTATAAAGACACTCTCAGGGATAAAACGAATGGTTGTAATAACGCACCGTCATGTATAGAACAGACAAGGTAGACTAAAGATATTATTGCCATCAAGGTTTTTTCTTTTTGCCCAATAGACTATTGCTTTAGCATAGAGCATCTCAAGCAACTAGATGAAAACACTGATGGCATCTCCATATATATGTGACACTGACTTATTCCATATCTGCCTTATCTGAACTGGAGGGTGAATATTCTTGCTAAATTATAGATTTCACACTTCCATATTGATACTAATGCAAATTCCCTGCGGGAGATTAAATAGAGGAAATCTGACCTGCAGACAAGTTGTAGCGGTAGCAAACAACAACTTGTCTTAGCCGCCTCACTGTGCATAACTCATTAGATTCAGTTCCTGTTTGAAATCAGATAATTTCAACTAATATAAAACGTTTGGCCCAAAAAAAAAAAAATTAACATAAAACGTAGAGCCTGCACGAGGTTACATGCATATTGACCTATAATTTATCATAGGATCCTCAGTGGACAGAAATTAATGCTTTAAGCAACAGTGTGCATTTAATGAAGAGTTAAGGTGCAGCACCCTAAAGTATGTTGTGGCACATCTAACTCCCTGAAATAGTTTTTTCAGTATGTCTAGTACCTTGAAGTATTTTTCATCTAGCACCCTAAAATATATATTTTTAGGTGCATCCAGCACCCAAAAATTTTTTTTGGTGCATTCAATACTAAGGCCAAAAAAAAAAAAATTTCAGAGTGCTAGACGTGCTTGAAAAATACTTCAGGTACTGGATGCACCACAAAATACTTTTTAGGATACAGGATGCACTTGAAAAAATACTTCAAGATGCTGGATGTATCTCAACCCTTTCATGAATAATATATCTGAAGAGTTTGGCTGTTAATATAGAACAATGAGTGGGATTAGGCTTGTTGTCTTTCTTGAAGAAACAGTGTTCATTTATTTTATCGGGATGTGTTAGAATATTAATCTAATCATCATGCATTCATGCATATGCAATCTAGACCTTTTATCCTTTAAGTTTTACTCAAATAACAGAGTCAGCTTTAATAGTTCTAATTTAGTAAGGTTCAACAAGACTTAACATATAGATTAATATTATGGAAACTTCCCAGGTAAGAACTGTATAAGAATATTCTCTTCATACGCAGATTCTATAATGCAAACTAATTCAATAAGATTTTTTTTCCTTTTGGGAATCCAAAACTTGCCTAGGAACTGTCAACTCTTTAGTAACAAAGAAAACGTCTAAAGTGACAGTCTGAAAAAATGCTTTGATAATATTCATTCAAAGAAGCTGAAATGAAATCTTAAGACGAGCAAGTTATGCCATACCAAATTGTTTTCATGATTCTGCCACATTACAATCTCCATCTACCTTACCTACTGCCTCAAGTATAGAAGAGTAAGTAATGAGATCATACTGATATCCCTTTGCACTCATTTCTTTCATCAGCCTTGCAGCCTGTTCAAACATGCCTGCTCGGCTAAGACAACTGAGAACAGTGTTGTAAGAAACCGCATCTGGCTTAATATTAGAATGATTCATTTTTGTGAACATTTCCATAGCACGCTTTGGGCCACCTGTTCTAGCTAAGCCGTTTAGAATAATATTATGAGAATTTATGTCTGGGGTGCAACCACTTTCTTCCATGGTTCTAAGCAAGGAATAAGCTTCATCTACCATGTTAGCCCTCACCAACCCTGACATGAGTGCATTATAAGCATACACATCAGGGGTACATCCAAGCTTTTTCATCTCACTGAAAAGATCTATAGCTTCATTCAAACGTCCACATTTTCCAAAATGCTTTATCATTACAGCATACACACGAGCACTTGAGCGTCCACAGTTCTCTTTCAATTCCTGGAATAGTTCCTTGGCAGCTTCATAGCGTTTTGCTCTTCCAAGGCTGTTGATCAAGCTGCAGTAGGCAGCAGGACAAGGTGGAAAGCCTTTTTCATCCATTTCCTCAAGGAGCAGCAGAGCCTGCTCAACTCGATTTGTTTTGCAGAAACCATCAATGAGAATTGAATAAGTAAATGAACTGGGGACAACTCCATCTTTTTTCATCCTCTCAAACCATGAAGAAGCCTCAGAAGGTGGAGCTTTGGCATCAAATAAAGATTTGATTATTGTATTATATGTTACAACATTTGGTGTGCAATGGAGCAATTCCATTTCATTAAAAAGCTTGATAGCATCTTCCAAATGACCTGATCTGCCCAGAATATTAATCAAATTATTCATCAGAATAACGTCAGGTTTACAACCATCTTTCAGCATATTTTTGTATATCCTGTACGCATCTTCAACCCTCCCGACTTTCCCCAATCCCCTTATCAACTCTGTATAAGTAAAGACAGTTGGGGGACATCGCTGCACTCTCATTTCCTGGACTATGCCCAGAGCTTCTTCAACCTTGCCCAACTTGAAATATATTCCCATTAATGTTGTATAAATTTTTGGTATGGGCCGTAATCCATTCTCCTTCATCTCTTCAAATAATCTAATGGCTGAGTCGTCTCGATTTAGCTTTGCAAAGGCTGATATGAGTGCACTATATGTAAATGTGTCAGGCAAACAATTACCTTCACTACACATCTCGTGATACAGCTCATGGACTTTTTCATAATGGCCCTCTTGCATCAGCATCAAGATGACAGAGTTGTAAGTAGCTGCATTAGGCCTGCACTTGCGGCCTTTAACCTGATAGAAGATAGACAATGCTTTGTTGACCATCTTAGCCCTGCCCAAAATTTTCACAATCTCAGATAACTCAGCAGGACTGAGTACACAAGTACTCCTAACCATGTCTTGTATTGTCTTCCATAGTTCACCAACCAGCCCAGCTTCATTCAAACAATGGATCAAAGACATGTATGTCATTGCATCATGTTGAAAATTCCTTCTCTTCCCAGCCCACTTAAAGAATTGGATCTTAACATGAACCTCAACATCTATCTTTAGAACCTCACGAACCAGGCGTGCATCCACCTTCAGCTTGAGCACTTCCAATGCCTTCTCTGCATCGGGACCCCATTTAAATATTTTCAAAATCCGAATGAATCTATCGTCCAACATTTGCGTAGAAGGGTCCTTCCACGATACCCTTCCTCTTTTCATGGGAATATTTTGGCTTTCTTCTTTTGGGCTAGGAACATGGAACATTTTGACGATCTCATTTTCTGCTAGTTTGAGCTATAGACAGTTAGATAGAAAGTTCAATACATCCAAATTAATAAGATTCAGGTATTCCTTCAGTAAGAATCTATTCGTGCCCAGGGAAAACAGCAGTACGGAACAAAGTTGAGTTGCTCCCCCCCCCCTCCCCTTCTTCAAATGCAAAAGGAAAAAAAAGAACAATTAAGTTGATAAATGTTTTCGTCTTGGCCCCAAAATTGTTTTTCATAGCAACTGATCCCCTTCTCCTTGGAAGGTTTTGGCTTTCTAAAAGAAACATTTGAATGACAACACTTCTGCCAGTTTGAACTATAAGCGTTTCGATAGAACACGCAGTAACCAAATCCAAAGAAATTCACGTATTCTCAAAAGTATTTCAGGTATTCACAAAATTATTAGTAAGTGAGGAAATCAGCAACACAAAGAAGACCTTTTACTCTTTTCAAATGCAGACAATAAAGAATAACTAGGTCAACAACTATTTCCATTTGGATATCACTGTTTCACAAATGCATGCTTATATTAACATTAAATCACTATCTTGAACATTACACGCTTGGCTTCGATGAAATTCGAAAAAACAAAGTAATAAACACACACCTGTTTGCTTTGTTCTCTCAGACAAAGGAGGCCAGGTTGAGATTCTCCTCCTAATAGCAATGGAGCCAATAAGCATTCTTGTTCCCAGCAGCCTGAATATACTCCAGCCCAACTCCTTGAAACATACACCAAAGCTTAATTAAGGCCGGCGCATTCCACAAGCAACAAACGAGCACTCGCTCACGCCGATGATCAAACAAACAAACTTGTTAATCTTCTTCGCCAGCATGCCCAATTTTCCCCTCTACCTCGCCCAAGTTCTGCGTTTTTTTCCTTCTCTTTTCATTTTCTGTCTCCTTTTTTTCTTCTTTTGTTGATGGGCTTTTTATGTATTTGTTTCCCAAAAACCAACTTCTTCTTAACCATTTTCATATACAGATTATGAAATTCATATATAACAAATGGCCCATGAGATCGGCTATGATACGGACAAAAACCTATGATAAATGTTTCAAAATACTACTTCCAGTCCTAATTATAAGAGCTAGTTGACTAATTTAAGGAGATTAAAGAAGTAAGTTATAAGTTAGTTATTTGTAATAAATATGTGTTGTCTTTCCTAAAATATCCTTGTTAATGAAGTGTATTGGGTAGAACTACTATTATTAGAAGGATTATCTTGGAAAAAAATACATAAATATGAAAGTCAAAGTAGATTGGGGTCTTATAATTAGAACCAAAATAAAAATCAAACAAAATCTTATATTAAAGACTGGAGGTAGTATAATACTATCTCCGGTCCTAATTACCTTCAATTTAATTATAAGATCTCTTTTGTAAACTACAAACCAGATCTTATAATTAAAACTGAAGGTAATATTTCATCCGTACTAAATATAGTCAGTAAATCATCAATTTACAAAAATTAATAAAATTAGTTGAGTTACAACTTCAGCTAGTCATTTGTAAATAATTTTTTTAAAATATCTCATTTAATCATTTGCATTGAAAATTATCTTTATTAATAAAAATTTTCTTTAACATGCACAATCAATAAGGATAATTTGAAAATTTTGAAACACAGATTTACATCTAGCATTAAACAAACCTCTCAATTGGCTCTTACATTTGGGACAAGAGGGAGTAATAATTTTCAGATGTTGGAAATTTTTTTTGTCAAAAATTGGAAATTATTATTGAGAAGAAAAAAAGGAACCCGTGCATCTCTTCCTTAAAACGTGGATTGGCGTCATTTCTAAGGGGGTGTTTGGCAAAACCAAAACCACGGTTTCAGAATCACTTTTCCGCAAAACGAGGTAACCTCCTCCATATATTTACTTCGTAATCCGTAAAAGCACTTCTGAAACCATGGTTTGGCTTCTATCCAAACACCCCCTAAGTTCATCAATGATGAGGGAACAGATAGGCGGAAGAAAGCGTCCGTTTAGTTGCAAATCATTTTACACAGCCATTCACTGGGAATTATTGAGGCCAAGGTTGCTTGGCAATTCTAGATAAATTACTCCTCCGATCCTCTTAATATAAGACCCATTTAACTAATTTGATTAAATTAAGAAAGTTAGGTAAGTTAGTTAATTATAAAAAAAGTGACACATTTTTCCTAAAACACCATAATCATCTCTCTTAATACCCCCTCTCCCTCTTCTATTTGATTATGATTGAGGGAATATCCATAGGGGTAATTTAGAGAAAATTAATAAATATGAAAAATGAGTCTTATATTTAAGACCAAAACCAACTCAAGAATTGAGGTCCTATATTAAAGACTGAAGGAGTATTATTTTTTCTTTGTTATTGATCTAAAAAAATGAAACCATGAAGAAGTCACTTTGGTCACATGGGATGGAAAAGAATTATGCATATTTGATCAAATTCTATCTTTCTTAATGTGAGATGGATGTTGATGAAAGAAACTCCCTTTTTCTGCTTAACATTGACTTTGTTCTTTTGTGATTGTGGAGGCTTCTCCCATAAGGGATTCAAATTTTAATTCTCCATGTTGTCTCTTTCTTTTAGACCCACGTCCCATTGGTGAATGAGAAATTATGCCCCACTTGTAAATAAGAAATCAATAAGACATCAATCTTAAGGCTCGGTCCTTTCCGGAAACAAAGCATTAGCTCAAGCCAGCCAACCAGCCCAACATGAGCAACGCACTTAAGGAGACACTTGTAGGCAGCAGTGCTCTCTGAAAAGACTAAAATTTGTAAGCAACATAAATTCATTCCCCTTTTATTTCCATCGCATTATTCTATTACCTTGTAAACCCCCAAAAAAAAAAAAAAAAACTCCCCTACTATTAATAAGACCTATTTTTTATATTTATTAATTTTTTTTCAAATAACTCTTATAAATTTCCCTCAATCATAATCAAGTAAAAAAAATATTAAAAAATAATTATAGTATTTAAAAAAAACATATTATATTTCTTATAATTAACTAACTTCCTTAACTTCTTCAATCTAATTAAATTAGTTAAATAAATCTTATATTAAAATCTGAAAGAAAAGAATAAACTGTACTATCCAGAAATCACACATAGCACAACTCACTTGCTTTAAAAATAAGCACAGCTCACCTTAGTTCTATGTGGTAGACAGAAAATTTGCCAACGTTAAAATAATAACTGGGAACAAATAACAATAATTGATGTATTTAATTGAAAGAAGATTTTGTATGAAAATTATAAAATTGTAAATAGATATTATAACTCAACATCTAGAGACCGTACAGAAACAACCCAACCCCCTAAGGGGCGGGCTAGGAAGGTAGACCCACACACATAATCATTTTCTCTTCAAAACCCTTTCAGTGGCAAAAAAAAAAAAAGAAAAAGAAAAAGAAAATCCGGATTTCAAAGAACGTAATAAAATCTGCGAAGCCATCCCGCAGAGAGGGCTCTAACCAAAGCATCCAGCGGCCACTCACTGCTAATCCCACCTTTCAAATCCTATTTCCCAAAAGTCCAAATCGTATTCTTATACAGAAGGTAAGAGACTTATGGTCTTCTCACTAACTTTAAAATAAACCATCAAAAATTATGCAGAGCCTGTGTTCTCTGACTTGTCAGTCTCCATTGGTTCAGTCGCTGGCGGTGGAGCCTGACCAGCAGCATTGTCCCCGGCATTTTCATTGGCACTGGCACTAGCATTGGTGTTTGCATCCCCCTCAGTTTGTTGAGGCGGCTGTTCACCACCCTGAGGAGGTGGGGTTGCGGTTGCTTCAGGAGTAGCTGGCTTGGCCGGCCTTGGTTTTGTCATGATCGGCTTACAGAACCTTCATAGGAAATATATAAACAAAATTACTTCCCCAAAAATGGAAGAGAAAAAGGAAATACAAAGAAGTACTTAAATCGTAATTGGGATGTTTGCCATAATATGATCAGTTAGGCCACGTGAAAGGGTCATCCACATGGTAAAAGGCAAGTACGGAGACCATATGGTAAAGCGAGATAAGCCTCACGTCACCTGACTCCACATTATGAAAATATCACCTAAATAACGGAGATGGGATACATGGCATACCTATCAACTGTCTCAGCTTTCTTTCTTATGTCAGCTGATAGGAGTACAGGAGGAGCATGTTTTGGAAGTGAATCCTGCTGCTGCTTCTTCTCCCTAAGCCAGGCCTCAGCTTCCACACATTGATTCAATACCTACAAAGAAATGGAAAAGACCATCTAAGATTCAATGGCAATGAAAGAAGGGAAGAAAAGATCAAGTTGACGAGCGTTACCTTCTGCTTCTCAGAGATGTCAATATGATCAAATTTGGGATCATTTGACATGGCAGCTTCTCTGTAACTATTTATGCAGTAGATGAACTGATCGATTATTGTACCTCTCTCCATAAATTCCTTGTAACGCTCCTCAATTGGATCACCTCGCTGCAGTAGTAAGAACTCCAATTATTAGAACAAAAGGAAGAACCTCCCAGTGTATGTTTTACATAATAAAAGCAAAGTGCAAAAAAAAAAAAAATTGTGTGCTTGACACCTTGACAGGGCAATGGATATTTTATAGTTTATGAAACTTACCCTCTTGAGTTCCTCAAGCTTGGCAATGTATACACCTTTAGTTTCATCTTCACCCTCTTCATATAACCAGTCTTCCACCTCCTGAAGTTTGGCATTAAACTCCTCCCTCTCCGAAGCAGTGACAAAATCTTGGTATTTGTCAGCAAGCTGAAGCAGTAACAGCAAGATCGGTTCTATAAATCCTTAACTTACATAAAAAATTGGACAGAGTAGGAGGAAATAAAGGGTTTTTTTTTTACCTTGTTTCTCATGTCATAAACATATGCCTCAACTGCATTTTTCCTGTCTTTTGTTTCCTCCATTACTCGATCTTGTAAAGCCAGTTCAAACTCCTTCTCTACAGCTTTCTGGAGATCTGCAGGGGCCAGGGCTCCATAAACCTGCTCTGAAAAAGGTATATTTGTCTTCTTGACCTTCTTTTTCGGAGCCTCAGCCTACAAAATTATTACAAGCCGAGTCAGTCAAATGTATAGAATATCAGATGACTATGCTTGAGAAAACCAGGCTTGCATAGAAGCACAAAATCAAACAGTAGCAGAGCTCAGGTGTGCATGGTAGCAAAGGGGCAGCTAAGACTTCACATTCAACTATACAGGTACACATTTTAAGCTTACTACAATGACAAATAGATTAGGAAAATCCATTATGAAACTATCAACAGCTACTTCTTAGCCACTACGAGATACAAATATTAGATACTTTGAACTGACACACCAAAAATTTTGCTTAGCTACCTATAGGTGCAAAACCATCAAGATCTAATCAATCACGTCAAAAAATCAGGTCAAGGACAACAGGAATAAGTAATTATAAAATTGGTAGTTTGAGCATGTATAAATATGCTTGAACACACCAGTCGATAGAACCAACCTTGGTATCAGTCTCCATCTGCACAGGCTTGTCTGCTGTATCTGGGATGCCATTTTCAACCCCAGAGGTTTCAGAAGTTGCCTTTGCATCTTGCATATTGACATCAGTATCATTAGAGCACGGTGGTGGTGCGGCAGCATCAGTAGGAGCCTCATCAGTGTCCATCTTAGCATTTTCTCCTGCTGGTTCTTTTGACACTGGAACCTCAACGATTTCCTCCTCCAGAAGCTAAAACAAAGTAGCAGAATGTTAACCGGTGAAAAAATTTCCACCAGACCTCAGAATACAGATTCCAGCAGAGAAGGAGAATATAAGTGCACTCAAACTCTCAGCATTAAAAATACTTACAGTAGCTGACTCAACAAATACAATTCCATGCAAATTCAGACGAACTTTCACTTTAACTTTCGCACTTTCACTCTTTGTAGTTTGGAAAGGACCAATCTGCATAAACAATACAGTCAAGTGACTATCAAGAGAAAAATAGAAAAAAAAATCACTGAATTGCTTGACCATAAAAATAAAAGAAAGCACAACAAATTAATGGGTTGAAAATATCCTCACAGTATATGTGCTAATCTTTGCAGGTCCTTGCAGCATACTCGTATCATCATACTGCACATCAACAGAAAATGTTCCTGACCTATAAAATGTCAGGGCCTTGACACTCGGTATGGCATTTCCTTTGGGAAAAACAACAGTACTTTGGCGATTATCTGCTCCATTTTCTTGTGCATCTGGACCAGAGCCTTTCCATGACAGTGAAATTGAAAATGGAAAGCTTTCATTGACCTTCAGATACAGAAATAAGCACATCAGCAATCCAGCATGCATATGTACAGGAAATTAAAAATCATTGAATTAAAAAAAGTGATTGAAATTCATATTCCCTAGGGTCCTAAACAGTTGTGCACTGAGGAAGATGGCATAGTAAAACAGTAAATGACAAACGTTAACATATACAAATTGATAGGATGGAAGAAACTTTACCTGAAACTCTCGCACTTTAAATGTCGGACTAAGAATTGCACATTGCAAGGCACACCCCTTGGCAACACACTCACTTGCATTCATTGTGCGCCTTGGCTCCTTTTGGAAAAATTCTGTCAATATTTTGTTTATAGCTGGTACGCGAGAACCTGAGCCAACCACCTCAACCATGTGAATATCCTCAACAGTAAGGTTTGCTTCTGCTAATGCCTTCTCTAAAGGTGCCTTCACACGTTCCAAAATTGGAACACTTAGTTGCTCAAAATCCTCACGCTTGATGAATCCCCTGACATCCTTCTCTTCCATTAGGCATTCAATGTTCAGAGGTGCCTCTGGATTTGCACTGAGAACCTTCTTCAGCTTATCACATGCAGCCCTGAGCCTCAGACAAGCCCTGGCATTCTGGAAAACATCAATCTTGTACTCCTCCTTAAATTTTGCAGCAAAGTGATTAAATAAGACCTCATCAAAATCTCTACCACCTAGAGACCTATCAAATGAATGGGCCAATACTTTCAGCTGCCCCTTTTTAAAGCCAGCAATGCACACTTGCATGCTAGCATGTCCGATATCAACAAAGGCAACATTCAGTTGATCATTTTCAGGAAGATCTGTTTTATAAATTCCATAAGCCAAGGCAGTTGCCGTTGTTTCATGAATCAAGCGAAGAGGATGCAGACCAGCAATCTTTGCTGCATCTAAGACTGCCCTTCTCTGAAGATCAGTAAAATAAACTGGAATTCCAATGCAACAATCAACAACAGCTGCATTCAGATTCTTCTCAGCTATCCCCTTGAGATCTGACAACACCATTCCCAGAACTTGAGTAGGCGTAAATGTTCTAACTTCACCCAAATACCGTGCATGAATTAATGGAAATCCATCAGGCCCTTCAGTGACAGCATAAGGCAATGATTTCAGATCCCGCTGCAATTCTGGGTCGGAAAATTGTCTACCAATTAGTCTCTTTATCTGTGAGATTGAATTCTTGGGGTTCATCATAGTAGATGCAGCCCCGGCAGTCCCAATGAACCTTTGTTTGTCACCGAAGCATACAACTGCAGGAGTTTCACGCTTGGACTCATCATTGAGCACAACATCAATCCCCCTCTGCCTTGCAACAGCAACGATGCAGCTCTCATTCCCAACATCAAAACCAACCACGCTCATCTTTGCAGGAAAAGCTAGGCCAATCGCTTAGAAATTGGTCTTCCAGCCAAAAAGAATATCTGAAAATTTCATGAAACATTTACATCTGAAGCAAAATATTTTCTGGAAACAAAATAGCATGAAATAGAAAACCATAAAATCAAGCAAAAACGTCAGCTGAGCAATGAAAAAGGTTTGTGAAAGAGAGAAAAAATAAAAGTCAGTCCTTTAGCCCGCATATGCCCATGAAAAGCAAGGATATGGATAACACTATATGGACAGACACAGGCAGATTTAATTTAGCATTCGACCAGACAAGTACAGATCGCAATTTTTTTTTTTTTTAAAAATGTTTTAGCAGAAATAACATAACCTAACCATCAAACACATTAAAGCACTCCGGGTACGTTTAGTTGCAAACAAACACCAGCCATGTGTCAATTCCCTTTTTCCTGGGAAGGCATCAGATTTTTCATAGCAGCAACGAACACCTTAAGCTTCGAAGTAAAAATTAAGTCTAATCCATAGCATCTCTATTCAGTTAGAACCAAACGCAACAAAAGAGTTAAATTAGGCCTCCAATAACTAACCAGGAGACGCAATGTACACACTTAAGCACCACTGATGAAGCAAACACAAACGAATCGCCAATTCCAACAAATTCTAAACAGCCCATAATATCAACTACCCACAATTATTTGCTCCGTAACAAGACGGATTGCATGAATCTAACACCATGAGCCAGCAGATCTACAAGCTTAAGAAGCATCAAACGAAACGCGAGAAATGAATCTGATGAAGAAAAAAAGAAAAGCACAAGAGTACCTCGAGCGACGATCCGAAAGAGAAGAGAAGAGAAGCCGCGAAGACGAGTCTAGAGAGGGGTCGTGATTTTGGGGGTTCTGGAACAATCTGAACCCTTTAACAACGTAGACGAAGAGGAGGAGGAACGAGGCTTAATAGGGCGTGCGACTGGGTGGGTCGATGTGTGCGATTTTCGACTTTTGATTTTTGATTTTTTCTTATTACAATTTCAACTTTTTAAAAAAAGAATTAACAGTTTAGTCTGTGTTCTGTTCTAATTTTTGGGCATCGATGAAAGGCGTGTTCTATTGGTCCCTAGAGGTGTCTAGATATGCAGCCATCCTTCTAGAAGGATCTACTCGGGTTCTCCGGGGAAACTTGACAAAGTGAACCCTTTTACGGTTTGACCAAAAAAAAAAAAAACCCTTTTACGGCAAACATATTTAAATATTTATAAATTATAAATTATAAATAATTTTTTAATCATAATTTATGAAATACGAAGTAAGTATTCAAAAAAAATTTTTGTCTTAGCTTAAAACATATTTATAAGTATTTTTAAGAGTACTGGTATTTAATCATGTCATGTGTATTGTTTTTGGTTTGGTTAAATTAGTTGTTTGAAATAAATGAGTGATATTTTTTTAAAAATATTTTTATTAATCATGTGTATTAAAATGTAAGTCATTTAATTTATGCAATAACCTTTGAAACTACTATTTTAAAAAATAAATAAATATAAGAGACAAAATATATTGAGAGAATTTGATTTGATTTTTGCCATTAAAAAAAAAGAAGGATTTTTCGTGCCTAACTTTCTCGGGAAAGATTCACAGTAGAGAACTCGAAGAATATACCGATATGACTTCAAAATTCATCACGTCCATGTTTGCTGACGAGATGCTCAAAACACAGTACATATGCTGCAAAGTACAAGATCGGTTCAAAAATCAAATATTGGACTTCCCATTTTTTATTTCAACACATGTTGCTTCCTTCTTCTTAAAAAAAAAAAAAAACAAAATACTCCTCCGATTCTTAATATAAGACCCATTTAACTAATTTGATTAAATTAAAGAAGTTTGGTAAATTAGTTAATTATAAGAAATGTGACACGTTTTTCCTAAAACATCATAATCATCTTTCTTAATACCCTCTCTCCTCCTTCTACTTGATTATGGTTAAGGGAGTATTTATAGGGGTAATTTAGAGAACATTGATAAATATGAGAAATGGGTCTTATATTTAAGAACAAAACCAACTCACAATTGGATCCTATATTAAGGACTGGAGGAGTACTACTTTCGATCCTAATTATAAGAGATAGTTAATTAATCTGAGGAGATTGAGAAAAGAAGTTAAATTAGTTGTCTATGATAAAATAGATGTTGTCTTTCTTAAAATATCTTTGCTAATTAAATATATTGATTAGAACTATCATTATTAGAAGGATTATTTTGGAAAAAATGCATAAATATGATAGACAAAGTGGATTAGGGTCTTATATTTAGGACCAAAATAAAAGTCAAATAAGATCTTATATTAAGGACCGGAAGTAGTATATGCTACTGTCTTCAATCTTTATCATCGATGTCTGATAATGACTCTACATAAATTAACAAGGTTAGTTAAAGTTTATTATTTCTTACAAAAATATCAAAATTACTTTAAATACAAAGTCACGAAATAGTGAAAGGAATGTGGTTATTTAGTTAAAAAGTTTTATAATTGGTAATAATACTATGTGGGAAAAATGAATGCTTTGAACAAAATATGAAATTGGAAAAATACCTGTGTTTTTTATATTGACATGAACTTGAATTTGATGCATGATATGACTAAAACCCTTATTGCAAAAACTAATCCACGTTAATTTTTGTGTTGCATGTTTGATGTAAAAAAACACATTATTTTAACTAACTAATCTATTCACACAATCAAATTCTATGCCTCATGGTTAAACACCTTTTTCGTAAGAACCAATTGTTGTTAATTTGTTAATTTTTGTGTTGCATGTTTGATGTAACAAAAATGAAACACATTATTTGATGTCAAGGCTTTGCAACCTAACAACACCAAACCCTTCTTGAGTTATCAATTTACGTGTTATTTTATACTCCTCTAGTCCTTAATATAAGACCCATTTAACTAATTTAATTAGATTAAAAAAGTTAGGTAAGTTAGTTAATTATAAGAAAAGTGACACATTTTTCCTAAAACACCATAATCATCTTTCTTAATACCCCATCTCCCTCTTCTATTTGATTATGGTTGAGGGAGTATCCATAGGGGTAATTTAGAGAACATTGGTAAATATGAGAAATGGGTCTTATATTTAGGACCAAAACTAACTCAACAATTGGGTCCTATATTAAGGACAGGAGGAGTACAATTTTTTTTTTGCAAAATTGTCAAATTAATATTTATTCAACACTTGTTTGTTTTTTAAAATTCGAACTCGTTTTAGTTTACATGTATCCAGCGTGAATACGATGCCGTTTCAACGTCACCCGTTGGCGGGAAAAGTTACCCGCTTTTATCATTGAAGCTGCTCAGTTTTAGGGTTCATGAGCAAAGCTTGCTCAAGAAAAAATTTTCCTTCCATTTTCGAGTTTAGAGAGGAAACGAAAAGATGCCGACGTACAAGATTCGGGGAATCGATGTAGAATTCCCTTTTGAGGCCTATGATTGTCAACTTGTTTACATGGAGAAAGTCATACAATCTCTCCAGGAGGTAGGTTCGGGACGACGGTTGCCACTCCCTTTTGATGCCTGAGAGTTCTTTTCCCTTTTTATGAAATAAAATTTGGTGGTCTGTTGTACAAAATGGGAATGTAATGAAGGGCCTGGGATAACATACCCGTTTTTAGACTATTTGTATGATATTGTCCAATGCTAGTACCTGGCATTGACGTTTAGTATGTGTGTTTAGTATGTGGCGCTCCTCAGGTAAGCTTAGGCGTGGAATGCAAGTTTTTTAAGAGAACTCGATCAATCAAGGGGGAAATCAGAAGGCTGCAAGTTCACTATGTTAACGATAACAGTGGTTTATTCAAAATCACTAGCTTCCCTGATTATTCTATTCCACATTCCTCTTGTCTTCCCTGCACTCTACAGGATAAAGCATCATTAGTGTTTATTCTTTTCACATTTTCCATTCACTGTCATGGGTATCATTAATTATTATTTACATTATTTACATGGTCTTTCAGGCCAAGACAAAACATCATACTGTATTCTGAGCCTTTCATTACACACGTAATTTTGTTTTCTGGCAGAAATGTAATGCATTATTGGAGAGTCCCACAGGAACTGGCAAAACACTTTGTCTTCTATGTGCTACATTAGCTTGGCGGAAGAGTCTGGGCAGTTTCTCAACTGGTGCAAATGTTAAGACCACTGAGAATTCTGAGGGCAAAGTAGACGTTTCATCTTCACAACCTAAGGCCTCAAACCTTCCTACTATCATATATTCTTCGCGCACTCACAGCCAGATCCGCCAAGTGATTCAAGAGTTGAAAAGAACATCATACAGGTCTACATGTTCACAATGGTCTAGTAGTGATTCAAAATTTGTTTGTGGACATATAGTTTGTTGATTGCGATCGCTGTAATGGTCCTGACACAAATATTTCTTATTGTCATAGCGTGTTTTGCGATCACTGTTGGTGTTCTGGTTCTGTAATTGTTCATGTAGGATGTTAAGTGTTATGGACGAAGTATGTTCTACTCTCTAGACCTTTTCCAGGAATTAAGAACTTGTTTGACATAAACTGTCTTGCTGACATGTAAATTCAACATCATAATATCTTCATGTAGTAATCCATTTTTCCCGTTGAATTGTTGAATGTGGTTTGGAGACGGAAACAGATTTGAGAGCTATAATGGGTGTTATTTGGTTTCTAGAAGGTTTCCCACATGAGCTTTGAGCTTATCTTCTCTTGTGATATAAAATGTGTTGGACATGACCTTATCTTTATTCATACAATGCAGGCCCAAAATGGTTGTTCTAGGATCTCGGGAGCAATTGTGCATTCATGATCAGGTGAGTCTACTTCGGGGAAGGACTCAAACAAATGCTTGCCATTTACTCTGCCGAAGGCGTGGCAAGAATGGCAAGCGTAGATGTAACCATAATGATCTTGTAATTGGTAATTTCTAATTCCAATTTTCTATGCGCCTGGGTACTTTTAATTTAAGTAATAGAATGTCTATTTTTGTGCATTTCAGTATGTTTTAACGCATTGGCATTTATCTTTGGACTAACCTGAGACTGTAATTTTGATCTTGTTCCAGAATACTCAAAGAATAACCCCCATCTTGGTGAGGAACCTATAGATATTGAAGATTTGGTGAACATTGGAAAAAGATTTGGGCCGTAGGTTCCTGCTGTTGTGCTTAATTCTGTTTTTTTCCCTCTATGAAATCAAGATATTGGAACTTGATTTTGATGTTACTTTGCTGCTTTTTTAATTTCTTTTTATCTTTCTTTTTTTTTCCCAATCAACTGAAATTGTCAAGTGCCTGGACTCTGGTGTGTTTCACATGGCTTGTCTTTACCTCAGGTGTCCTTACTACTTATCAAAAGAACTCCACAAGGCTGCTGATTTAGTATTTGCACCATACAACTATCTTATTGATCGTGGGTATAGAAAATCCCTGAATATTTCTTGGCACAATAGTATACTCATATTTGATGAAGCTCACAACCTGGTAAGAATATTATTGAGAAGGGAAATATGTTTCTTGTATTATTCACATTGAGAATGAGAAAATATATACACAAGGGAGGAGCCTAGGCATTAATGGCTCATTATTAGGAGATAATATCGTATCATATCTAATCTGATCCTATGCTATCATATCTGATTTCCTATACTAATTACAATGATATTTCATATCTTTACACTCCCCCTCAAGTTGGAGCATAGATGTCAATCATGCCCAACTTGTTACAAAGATAGTTAACCCGAACCCCATTTAAAGCTTTAGTGAGGAGGTCACCCAGCTGATCACTGGATCTCACATGTCCTGTTGAAATGAAGTTTTCCTTGAGCTTATCCCGAACAAAATGACAGTCAATCTCGATGTGTTTTGT